TGTATTGATATTATTACATAAATGGTAGATTTATAAAAAAAATATCAAAAAGTTTATCCACTTTCGTAAATATCTCGTACATAAGAAAGATGTCACTATTGAATTTCAGTAGAGATCATCTAAGGGATTGTTTTTATAGAATTTGGGTGACAACAGCGGTATGGCCACGCAGCAGCTTTTCTGTTGCACGTATGGACCGGCTCGAACCGGAGTGGTGCCACGACCTCACAGAACACCGGCGTGAAGTAGAAGCTTCGCTTCTGCATTTCGTCTGATGAGTTCAGGTGGCCGGAGGCCTAATTCAACGTCGTATCGACCAATAAAAAGTGTGCTCACGACTTATGTCGGCAGTTATATTTGAAACGTGCGAATGATTTTAATTTAAAACTATTGTGACGCTATCTATTCACTGATTGATAAATTTTATTAAGCGTTTTTATAGCGGTTAACTACATAGCTGTATGGTGGCTTACTATGCGGCAGGCTTATGGTCAGTTGTTGACTTATTTTTGGGCTGTTTTGATGACGATGATGATGATGATAGGCAGAAGCGTACACAACAAACAAAAATCCTATCTCCTGGTTTTTTCCTTCTACCACCTCTTCTAAGATCCATTAGACGATACGGGGGGATACACGTATCTGTTATATAACGCAGAAGAAATATAGAAATTTTAGTTCATCGGCTATTAAATAAACTGGTTTTATTCGGACTTAGAAATTACAAAATACATACTATGTTTCAAAGTCCATTTTATGTGTTCGAAAGTGGTCAAGTGAGTCTTCATCACGGCCGGCTGGCCGTTGTTCTGCCTACAGGCCGCGGCCGTTGACTGTACTACCTTGCCCCGTTTGGAGCAAGTTAATACAGTCTGGCATTAGAATTCTGTTCCGGTTTGTGTTCAAATATAAATTTCCCATAACATGTTGTACCACAATGACCAAACTATAAATTTATATGCCTTTATTAACATTAACTAGATTATTTGAATATTGTAAATTCTTATTAACTTCTCATATCCAATATGTTCAAGATTCTGACCCTGTATGCGGCAGGAGCTCTTGGGTGATGTATATAATAAATTGATGTAGTCGACGTCCCTAAATAGAAAATCTTGACTTTAATTGTATTAATTACATATAATTCTAGAACTAAGAGTTGAGACAGGACTTCTATATTGAGTGATAATTACAAATATACAAGTGAACTACTGTCTTAAAGTAAAACTATCCTGTTGTGTATTATTTTATATACGTGGTAAAGCCACGCTACAATAATATCTTGGTCTTACGACGAATGGTTCCGGCTCGACCGGGAAAGGACACGCTCTTACAGAATACTAGCGTAAAATAGTATGTAGTTCAATACCGCTGTGTTATGTTGTATGGTGATTTTTTACTTTTTTTACTGGAACTGTATTTTTTACTTTTTTACTGGATACGAGCCATTCCATCTTAGTCCTCAGGGGTGACGAAGCACTTGCGTTTTTATTCTTAATCGATGATAAATGTAGATGTCTAGGGGCCTGAGCGTACTCTTACCATCAACTGGACTGCGTGATCGTTTCTCACCCTTATTCTATAAAAAACTTGAAATCGGGAACCGTTATGGTAGACTGTCTTCGAGCGTTTATAAATTCGAATTTTATTTGCCAGAGCTATTTATCATTGTTGCGTTTCGATTGCGGCTTCAATTGGTAATGTGAGGAAACGATTATAGGCCCGAAGAAGAAGCACTTTCTTGGTCTTGACTTCAGCTACTCTCGCAACACCATCCTTTCTCGGAATAAGTTTAGTGACGCGCCCCAAAAGCCAAAACAGTGGGGGAAGATTGTTTTCCTTCGCCAAAACCATTTGTCCTACAGTCAGGTCCCCGCAAGAATTGTGTCATTTCTTATTTTGATGTAGGAGATGAATATAATTATTAACAAAACGCTCCAAAAAATGTTGTTTTAGCTCCTCCACTCGCGCAAATCTAGATAGTGAGTTTATATACTTGTCTTCTATTTGTGGATGCGGAACTGAGGTAGTTGTCCATCCAATAAGAAAATGGGAAGACGTTAAATATGTTAGATCAATGGGATCGGATGATAAGGGTGCAAGAGGTCTAGAATTTAGGACAACTTCAATCTGAGTCAGACAAGTTGAACGCTTTATAAATGTGAAGTGAGTGAGACTCATAATACGTTTCAGATGACGTTTGACTAACATTACGGCAGCTTCGCACAGTCCGTCAAAATAAAGAGAAAAGGCTGGGATAAATTTAAATTCTGTACCTTGTTATGCGGTATCTAAAGTTATGTAATCTGCCATGTGCCTAAGAAAGGAACAGAGTTAGTTGTAGGCAACTACGAAGGTAGAACAGTAATCACAGTCCAGTCCAGAACAGTGAACAGATTATTTTCGTGTCTCTAGCTATTATATACTCGACTGCCCCAGACGTAGGGTAATGTTTTGCGAGAGTACGTATGTATGTTTGTCTTTTTTCGGCATGCTCTGTAGACGAAACAGCTCAGTGGGTTGTGATATATTATGAGGTGTCGTTTAATGTAGACGAAACAGCTCAGTGGGTTGTGATATATTATGAGGTATCGTTTAATGTAGACGAAACGGCTCAGTGGGTTGTGATATATTATGAGGTATCGTTTAATGTAGACGAAACAGCTCAATGGGTTGTGATATATTATGAGGTATCGTTTAATGTAGACGAAACAGCTCAATGGGTTGTGATATATTATGAGGTATCGTTTAATGTAGACGAAACAGCTCAATGGGTTGTGATATATTATGAGGTGTCGTTAATTTTTCTCAATTGTGGGAGTGACGAAGGTTGTATAATATTTATAAAATGTATCTGCTAATACAAACATTTGAAAAATCCAAAATTGCACACCTGCACGTTCATGTAATATATTGAATAATCAATTTAATTCTATTAATTACCGAAACACGTATTTTGTTTAAGGCTTTAAAATAAATTGTTTCTGTTTAATTAATACGATTTTTTTTTCAAAAGACATCTGAATTAGATTTTGTTAAAAAAGTACGCACTGAATGTACCGCCGCCTCACAGCCATCTGTAGAGCCTAGTTGAGAGAAATTTGGTCTTAAGATTAGAAATTATGTGCCATGTGAAATGTGCAACCAATATAGCAAACAGCAATAGGACGGATATTTTTATCCATTTTTTCCAATGTAAGTGCAATAATAAAGCTGGTGAAAGCTATTTAAGATTTCGCGTTCGATGTGTGCAAAAAAAGAAAGAAAAAGTTCTGTTCAGTAAAGTTTTATACGCAGTCGGTGTTTTTTAATTACTGTTATAACCACTAAGTTTGTATTGAAATAAAACCTTATGAAGATGGCACTTACGTAAATGCCACCCAGGGGGTCGGTCGGCCGTTAGATAACTCACCTGCGTGCACTGCAAGCTATCATAAGAGTCATCATTACGCAACATAATGAATTAAATTCACCTTTTTACAGCCCGCTGTCTTTGAAGCCGCGAGCCCTGAGACCTACGTAGCTGTAAAAGCCAATAACTAACAGGCTAACACCATTAACATCATCAGAAATGTAGGTGGCATACCGCTAAGGATATTTTTAATCATTGTAGCTTGTCTATCTACGCCTACCGAGACCTTGCAAGCAATCATGAAGTCAGCTACTATACAGCACCGCCTGCTAAGCAAATAACAGCACGTCTTTAAAGATGTGACTCAATTTCCTTTCGTGACGTAAGAATATTCAATATAGTATAAAAACCAAAGTATAATTGTTAAAACAGAGCAGTATTGATTAAATTAGTCTGTAAGTTAACTAGTCTCGTACTCACGTGTACTCATATTGTCACAGTACTTAAGTTAGCTTGTAAGTTATATAGAAGTAATATAGGAAAAAGTCTTCATCTCCTTCCACTTCAACCCTCCCTAAGCTGCTCTAAACGTCATTGGCGCAGTCCGTAGTCGGGAGAATATTGTGTTGACATTTAACAATTTAACTGATTTTCACTATGAACGAACTGGGGCTACTTGCGTACTGCGAAATTCACGAAAAGCATTCAGTACCTAAGCTACGAAGACTTTGAATTTTCCAATGTTATGTCATTAATATAAAACAGTAAATAGGTTGATTTCATCCAGCGTATCGTTGATAATTAAATTTTAATTTAAAAGTATAGAGATAATTTATAACATGTTCAAATACGTCACTGTCGCGTGTTGCGGAGACCACAAACGCGTAGTCAACGTAACTCTGAATGAAGGTAAATTACGCACCTAGTGGGGACCCGTTGGGTCGTTGCAATGATCGATTGTGTTTCACGTGACGCTTAAGTTAACAATTTTATAGCAATTAAGAACGGTTAATATACTTCTTCACCATTAATGAGCCCTTATCAGGATACTAAGATATATATATGTGTTTGTGTGTGTGTGTGTGTGTATGTGGTATATATATTAAATATATTGAAAACTAAAATTATCATACAGTCCTACTCCCCGCAGTACATAGCCACGCTAGAACGCTGTCTGAGTTTCCTTCCTGAATGGCTTTACTTAGCCTATGAGTGAGAACATAATCAGCCCTCTTATTGCCATAAAATAAAGAACTCAACATTTCAATATAGAAAATAGCTGGGCGCTACGATCTGTTAGAATTCTATTATTACAACAACGAAAATCAAGTCCGAACCCATTAATTCTAGATTTCCAGATACTGGGAGCTCGTTCAGCATAGATCGGACTAAAAACTACGTAACTCTGAGAGCTGTTCTATGATATGACCCAAAACAAAGCTATTAATTATCGGATTTTGGATATGATTTCCTTTTAAGTACAACCGAAACTAAATCAAGCAATTGTTTAAGATTTTTGGTTTTATGCATTTTATTTTCATCGATAAGATTGTTAAATAATAAGGACTATATAACGCGTACCTTTGTTTAATAAGTAATACAAATTTTGATGAGAAGTGACTGCATTATGTTGTTGCTTGGACAACCTATGTATATATTAAACGATGGTCTGTGTCTTGCATCGTATGCTCTGTACGAACGGTTGGAGTCTGTTCGTTGTGATTTATTCAATATGATTACTGTAATTATTGCATTAATAACAATACTGTCATTATATGTATTTGGAACAAGGACGTATAAATACTGGGAGCAGAGGGGAATCAAACATGACAAGCCTATACCGTTCCTGGGCAACAATGCAAGAAATTTCCTGATGCAGGCGAGCCAAACGGAAATTGTAGTTGAAATGTACTGGAAGTACCCGAAAGAGAAGGTCGTCGGGTTCTACCGAGCGTTTCGGCCGGAGCTTGTGGTAAGGGATCCCGAAATTGTGAAACGAGTTTTGACAACCGATTTCGTACACTTTTATCCACGCGGTATAAACTCACACAAGAAAGTAATTGAACCGATGCTACGTAATCTATTCTTTGCGGACGGTGACGTATGGCGGCTGCTGCGACAGCGCATGACCCCGGCGTTCACCAGCGGCAAGCTGAAGGCAATGTTCCCGTTGATCGTCGAGCGAGCAGAGAGGCTACAAGTGCGAGTCCTGGACGCCGCTTCAAGGGGCCACATTATAGACGCTCGTGAATTGCTGGCTCGCTACACAACTGATTTTATTGGAGCTTGTGGCTTCGGTCTTGAATCGGACTCGCTAAACGATGAGAACTCAGCATTCAGACAATTAGGAGCAAAATTTTTTTCACTCAACGCAAAGCAGCTTTTTATTAGTACGCTCAAAATTATGTTCCCTGAAATATTTAAATATGCAAAAACGCTAGCGGAAGTGGAGTCCGACATCGTTCCTCTTGTAAAGGAAATCCTGAAGCAAAGAAATTATCAACCATCGGGGCGTAACGACTTTATAGACCTGCTGCTAGAATGCAAAGCCAAAGGTACTATCGTAGGAGAGTCTATAGAGCACTTCAAACCAGACGGAGTGCCCGAAATTGTAAAACTGGAGATGGACGACTTGCTAATGGCAGCGCAAGTCTTAGTTTTCTTTGCCGCCGGCTTCGAAACTTCATCCTCTACCACGAGCTATACTTTACACCAGTTGGCTTATAATCCTGACGTACAAAAAAAAGTGCAATCAGAAATTGATCGGGTCTTAGCTAAGTATGACAACAAACTGAGTTACGACGCAATTAAAGAAATGACGTACTTGGAATGTGCGTTCAAAGAGGGCATGAGGATATTTCCTTCCGTAGGATTCTTAACTCGTCAGTGCGTCACCAAATATACGATTCCTGAGATTGAAGTGACAATCGACCCCGGAGTTCAAATTTTAATACCTATACAAGCGATGCAAAATGATCCGCAATACTTCGCCAATCCCGAGCAGTTCCGGCCGGAGAGGTTTCTTCCCGAAGAATTTGATTCTAACAATAAATACGTGTACTTGCCATTTGGAGTCGGACCTCGTGCTTGTATTGGTAAGTACTTTAAAAACAAATTAAAAATGTTGTTCGTGCAGTCCAAAAATTTATATCACTAGAACCAATTAATTACAAGCAGACTGCTGAATTCAAGCCTCTTCCATCGTTTGCTACCAAGTACGGTTCTTAACTATTTGTTCTATCATGCAACACCTTGATATCTGATGGTAAGTGACTTTATGTGGGGCCACACAAAATTCCCATTAACAGCAACAACATTAGAGTAATTGCATGAACAAATATCTGTAAGCGAGTTTTAAACTGCGGTTACCAACCCGCTCGCCAAGCGTGACGACTATGGCAATGTACCCCCCCCCCCCATAAGCAACGACTCAAATGAATGGTTCCCAGCCGCTACTCCCGCCGCTATTCCTGGCTACGGTGGCGACCATGGTAACGACGGGGCAGGAGGTGCTAAGAATTTCTGGTGGAGGTTCAGTTGCCACCTAAGTCGACTCGACATGGCAGCATACAACACACGCACCTTGATAAATGACGATAAGATGCTGGAGCTGAAAAAAAATATAGACGAGTTGCAGGGGGAGGATAAGGTGATTCTCAAATCAAGCAACTTATTGTAACCGGGAGGACGGCCATCTGTCCCATGGAGGTGTTGAATTTATCGTCCAGAAGTCTCTCATTAACAACGTTGTAAAGATAGGGAGTGTGTCGACGAGGGTTGTGTACCTTATACTCAGAATCACCAAACGGGATTCGCTAAAGTTCATTTTACGCATCAACCTCGGCACATCCCGATGAGGAGGAGGAGGAGGAGGAGGTGGAGGAAATGTATGAGGATATTTCTAGAGCCATGCATATCTCCAAAACTCACGCAACGCAACGCAAAACTAGACACAAGAAAAACGATGAGCGGAAAGTAGGGAAATTTGGGATAGGGTAATAGAATCCAAGGCGCCAGCAGCTGGCTGACTTCATGTAGAAAGAGGGACTCCTCATAATGAACTCTTTCTTTATGAAGCAGCCCCACAGAAAGTGAACCTGGTCGAGCCCCGACGGTTTGACAAAAAATGTGATTAACTTTATTATGACGACTAGAAGGAAACTGTTCAGTGATGTCTCGGTAATCGCAAGGGTAAAAACTGGCAGCGATCACCGAATGTTTAGAGGCACACTGAACCTAAACGTTAAGTTAGAGAGGTCTTGTCTAATAAAGTCAACGCTCCGTCCGCTACGAGTTACAAAATCGATTTCAGTGCCTAGAAGAGTGCAATGCAATGGACGATATAAATGAGCTCGTGGAAACTGTCAATGCGGACGGAGCTAAGTTCAGCAAGACCCGCCGCAGAAGTACACTAAAACTCTTCAATCACACTCTTAATCTCATCGCTGTTAGACGAAAAATGAAGCTACAGCATACAGGCAACTGAACAGACAGATCTTCCAATGCATGGGGCGAGACTTCCGCAACTTTAATACTGCTCGTATTGAAGAAGCAATCGACCAAAACCTGGGCTCCAAAATCATTGACAGAGATCTGTCTGTCAGAAAGAGCCGACTGTCAAAACAAGCAAAAGAAGACTGAATGTGGCAGCACCGTTTTCGGGACACCTGAGGTTTCATCGTTGGAGCCACACGCAAGTGTGAGTAACGATCCAAGAGCAAGTCTTATCCGACACTATTCCGATGATATCCCGATCATCAGTCTGAGCGAGATTAAAATGGCTCTCCAGCACCTTAAATACGACAAGGCCCCAGGCGAGGAAATTGCAGCGAAGCTTCTGAAAGCGGGTGGAAAACTGATATTTAAAATACTTCAGAAGCTCTTCAATTCCGTCCTCCATTGTGGCACTACCCCGGGGCTTGGAGCAGAAGTGCGGTCGTCTTGTTCTTCAAGAAAAGCGACAACTCTCATGAAGAACTACAGACCGAATTCCTTTCTGGACTGCGGCTACGTGCTGTTTTTGAGAGTCATTAAGAATCGTTTCATACGCAGACTTGACGACTTCCAGCCTCCTGGAAGACCTAAGCACTAGGCACAATGACCTTAATAGTGGTAGTAATCCAAGAGATAGGTCTTAAGATGAACATGGAGAAAACAACTTCCCACTAGATGGAATGATGACCTGTTAAGACATTCAGGACGTTGATGGATGCAGGTGGCTCAGGACCATGCTTTGTGGCATTCCTTAGGGGAGGCCTCTGTTTAGACCTGCAACAATTATATGCAGGCCATGCAGATACTAATCTTACGCGGAATTCGAACCCGAGTACATCAGCACTGTCAAGCTACTGCGCTACGGACCCGTCAAGATGATAATATTCCATCTATAGGGAGCCTTATGATCTTTTTGCACATCGCATAGTTGCCTTTTACGACGGTCACAAAAAGAATGGGTGGTAGAACCTCATACGTCACCACTACACGGCTACGGCCAAGGTTAGTTCAAAGTAATCATATAAAAATAATATAGAAACAATACCAAATTACACTGATGGAATTACACTCACCTCTAAATATGTTAATTGTACTCATAATTAGTTTAAAAAAAAAACAATTTAATTAAGTCTGCTGATGTCCACATTCAAGGAAATACATTGTATTGTTACGATAGTGACCATGACATTAATTATTATCTTTCAGGCAGATCTTAACTCGGCGACAAAAAAATATAAAGTTATTTACATTATAAAATATAGTGAGAGATTGAGAAATTAATAGTCTAAACTGCCCCCCGGATACAGGAGAAAATCCTAGTGTAGAGCTAACGTATTTTTTTTAAGAAAAATATTTAAAAATAATGTAATGAAACGTACATAATTAAAATGCAGTTACATACAAATGTATTAATATCTAAATATAATTATAAATTTATAACGCAATTTTCCGAGCAACTTTTCAGGAACTGTAGAACACGACGGACCGATGGCCGCTTCCAGGATCGACACTACCTGGCGGAATATAACAATAACTACAATTAAATATAAGCAATATAGATAAAATTAAACATCTTGCATTAGCGAAAATAGTGATGAAATATATAATATGTGGTATTTATAATCCGCTTGAGTATAGGACATCTAATAAATCGTATATCTTATCTACTATTGAAGGTATAGGCCAATATTTAGCATTAGAGTTCCAATGCTGTACATCTCGTGTTTCAGTGGACTTGTGAAGTGCTTTAATGATGATAATAATTTAAGGAAGGAGTATTTTTATTGAAAGTCGCTAAGTCGTATACGTTTCATCAGGTCATCACTCCATCTAGTGAGAAAAAAATTGGTTATTCAGTATTTACGTATAAACTATGAGTAAATTTTGAAACAAAGCTAGGCTGTCAACCGGTTATCATGAAATGTTATATTTTGATTGTTAAGCTATTGCATAGCTTCTATCGCGGGCCTTGAGCGCAGGGACCGAATCCAGAAATTCCGTAACGAAAAAAAACCTCACGCTCCCCACTCCGACGGGCACGGAGGTGTAGCGTTGAAAGCCGTGCATCGTCTAACGTCGTTTTAGTTCGGCAGACTTCGGCACTCGGCAGACTTCGGCACGGTATTTGTGTGCGTGTACACTAGCTGCTAACTCAATAATAAAAATTCCTGAATAACCTACATGTATTGTAAGATATTAAAAATATTTTAAACAATATTAACTTCTCATTTATTCAATAAGAGAAAAAAATTGTTTTCTTATCGGTCACCACGCTCAAAAAAGTGTAACTTGATTTAATATCAAAGACTTAACTGCATAAATAAAATAAATAAATAATTATAATTGCATAAGTTGATAAAAAATGCTATGCAATAGCTTTACCGCAGCAGTCACCGAGTGCCACACGTATTTTTTTTTTGTTATATACAATGATAACTGATACTCATGCTATTATTTACAATCGCCTTTTATGAGATAATTTAAAATATTTTAACCAAATTCAAATAAAGAAGCCGGATATCAATGTATCTCTATATTTTTTGTAATATTTGTTACACGATATCTCTGAGGTTAGTTAACTTAGTTCCTATTTTTATGTACCCATACAGTATCCTTCCAAAATGTTCCCGAGATAACAGAATTCAATTTAAATTTGTTTAAATAATAATGTAATTGCATAAGCCATATATTAGTGGTTTAAGAGAAGCCATTGACCCATATATAGGCAAAAGGGGGAAACTGAAACTCGATATGGGCAGCAATATCTTGCTGATAACAACTCAAAACAATATAAATACAGCTGTTGCCATATCTAGCTGTATAACTATGGCAAAAACCCCCTATGAGGCCAGCTATGATGGCGGCGTATGATCAGCAGTGGACTTTGATAGGTTACAATGATAATGATGATGATGATTATGAATATTATTGAGGGTTGGCCGCGTTAAATTCAATTACACCATTTCATCTCGTGAATATCATAGCAAGCGACTAGAAAAATACCAGAAAGGTCGTATGACCTCTATAAATGGCGATATAACTATCTTGTCAACACTTGATGTACGCTACCCAGGCCAGCGATTGAGAGCATTATCAAAGGTGTGTGACGACTGGTACTAGACGATTAAGACTCATTTCAAGGTATTTTACTTTAGTGTAAACAACACGGTTAATGTAAACCTATACGAAATAGGTATAACTACACACCATAGGAAGTCATAACACCTTTATGGCACGTTTCTATTTATAGAATAAGGATAACAAACAAGCACACAGTCCATCTGATGGTAAGTATATACCGTGGCCATAGACATCTATTATCCTCGATTAAGAAATAAAATGCAGATTCGTTCTCACCCTTAAAGACTAAGATTAAATGCCTCATCTCCCCTAAAAAGGGCCTCCGTTTCGTAAAACTCACCATACGATACAAAGCAGCATTAAGCTGACATTTTGTGCAGGTATTCTGTGATGGCCTGCTCCATTCCCAGCCGAGCCGACCTCTTCGTGCTACAATCATAATATAGCTGCAGCCCCTGTGGTTGTGGCAGATGACGTTATACAGTCACCTGCCGCAACCACGGGATAAAATGCACACTGCAATATAAACTGTCTTTTATGAAATCAGGTGAACGGCTTGGCCTGATGCAGTCACTCGCAGGATTGGCGGCTATACTGTCCTGCTGCTCCGTGGAACCAGGTCCAACTACGATTCGCAATCTCAAGATGAACCCTAAAAGTCGTATTGTGCAAACCATCGAAGGCGGTATACCATTAGTTTTTCGTAAAAGGGATATCCAGAATTAATAATTTAATGTTAAGGACGCGTTTACAAAATGGATAGGTATAGAATCGCACTACTACATTGACAAAAGTCACACACACACTAGTGTACGCACGGTTGGCTGTGGGAATCGTAGTCAAATGAAATTATTTTGATAATTTGAAAGATTGAATTTGTATTTCATTTCTTATACCTACCTCAGAAATATACTTCGATACGAAATATGAATACCTGCTCCAAAGACTGCTTGGCACTGGAAGCCCTCTACTGGTAGCTCTGGACTTTGAACTGGTTTTGTCAGTTATAATAAGACCTTACCTACCTGCGGACTTGATGGAGTGACCTGAAGGTGTAATTTGGTGATTACAACAATAGGAACTCCTAGACTAGTGGAACTAGGTGTGCCGAGTTTGGGTTCGTTTTGTTGGTTATGATGAGACCTTACCACCGGACTTGATGGAGTGACCTGAAGGTGTAATTCGGTGATTACAAGTGGAACTCCTAGACTAGTAGAACTAGGTGTGCCGAGTTTGGGTTCGTTTTGTTAGTTATGATGAGACCTTACCACCAGACTTGATGGAGTGACCTGAAGGTGTAATTCGGTGATTACAAGTGGAACTCCTAGACTAGTAGAACTAGGTGTGCCGAGTTTGGGTTCGTTTTGTTAGTTATGATGAGACCTTACCACCAGACTTGATGGAGTGACCTGAAGGGGTAATTCAGTAACTACTGCTGGAATTTCTGAACGAGTAGAACTAGGTGTGCCGAATTTGGGCTCCGTTTTGTTAGTTATGACGAGTCCATACCTCCGGACTTGATGGAGTGACCTGAAGGTGTAAATCGGTGATGGCAACTGGAACTCCTAGACTGGTAGAACAAGGTGTGCCGAGTTTGGGTTCGTTTTGTAGGTTATGATGAGACCTTACCACCGGACTTGATGGAGTGACCTGAAGGGGTAATTCAGTAACTACTGCTGGAATTTCTGAACGAGTAGAACTAGGTGTGCCGAATTTGGGCTCCGTTTTGTTAGTTATGACGAGTCCATACCTCCGGACTTGATGGAGTGACCTGAAGGTGTAAATCGGTGATTGCTACTGTAACTCCTAGACTGGTGGAACTAGGTGTGCCGAGTTTGGGTTCGTTTTGTAGGTTATGATGAGACCTTACCACCGGATATGATGGAGTGACCTGAAGGTATAGTTCGGTGATTACAAGTGGAACTTCTAGACTTGTAGGACTAGGTGTGCCGAGTTTGGGTTCGTTTTGTTAGTTATGATGAGACCTTACCACCAGACTTGATGGAGTGACCTGAAGGGGTAATTCAGTAACTACTGCTGGAATTTCTGAACCAGTAGAACTAGGTGTGCCGAATTTCACTCCATCAAATCCGGTGGTAAGGTCTTATCGTAACTAACAAAACGAAACCAAACTCGTCACACCTAGTTCTACTAGTCTAGGAATTCCATTTGTAACCACCTGATTACACCTTCAGGTCACTCAATCAAGTCCGGTGGTAAGGTCTCATCGTAACTAACAAAACGAACCCAAACTCGGCACACCTAGTTCTACAAGTCTAGGAGTTCCACTTGTAATCACTGAACTACACCTTCAGGTCACTCCATCAAGTCCGGAGGTATGGACTCGTCATAACTAACAAAACGCAGCCCAAATTCGGCACACCTAGTTCTACTCGTTCAGAAATTCCAGCAGTAGTTACTGAATTACCCCTTCAGGTCACTTTATCAAGTCCGGTGGTAAGGTTTCATCGTAACTAACAAAACTAACCCAAACTCGGCACACCTAGTTCTACCAGTCTAGGAGTTCCAGTTGCAATCACCGATTTAGACCTTCAGGTCACTCCATCAAGTCCAGAGGTATAGACTCGTCATAACTAACAAAACGGAGCCCAAATTCGTCACCCCTAGTTTTACTCTGCAAGAAGTTCAAATAGCGGTCACGAAAGTACACCTTCAGGTCATGCCATCAAGTCCAGAGGTAAGGTCTCATCATAACCAACAAAACGAGCCCAAACTCGGCACACCTAGTTCCGCTCGTCCACGAGTTGCAGTAGTAGGTAAGTTTATATATCCTACTTATTTTTAGCTAAATAAAAACTGTGAGTATAAAAATAATAATTTTATCACTTGTCAAGTACCTATGTTTCCAATTTGTTTTTTTCTAATATTTTGTGTATGTACAGCGATCTTTTCAGAATGAGCCGCTGCAAACAGGCGATACAGTGTCCACTCACGACGGCGGCCGAGCGCGGACTGTGGTTTCATCGAAATCTTTGTACAATAAATCAAAGCAGGCACCAACAATAAAATAGCCCTTATTGCAATACATTATGATTCATCCATATTACCAAAATATGTGAAAAAATGTGCATCAGTTTTTATTTTTTTTTACGAATATTTGTGACATTTTGTTAAAAAATAAAGCCAGGGTTTTTTAATTGAATATGTCTGTCATCTTATAGTATTTTTTTAAATTTTTTAAATATGTTGATAATAGACCAAAACATGTACCGAAACACAAGCCGGTATCGTTAATTTTGTAGAAAATGGCAACGAAAGTTCGTTTTTACAATATAAAAAACTACTATTTTCAACAAAAGAGTTACAGACATTTGCAGATGAAGAACCAATCTATACATGGTAGTTTTTACTTATATTTGATTTGGTTTAGTTTTGTCACAAAATCTACCGAAAAACACCCTAATTTTGGTTGATTTGCAAACGCGTCCTTAAGTAATTAAAGATCAAACGTGATATTTAGTCAAGTATATAACAGTAAGAATTTCAAGAATTTTTTTTCTTGAAATCTATCCCCCTCGGCAACACAGGTCCAAGTAAAGAAAAATATCGTAAGATATTCTGCCTACAAAATGCCATGAAAATGTTAAAAAAAAAACGAGAACTAATGAAGTCAGCATACACTCGGGAGGGGTTGGATATTAGAGTATCTCTTAAAATGGAAAAAGATCGACAAGTTTATATATCATTTAAATTGTGTATTGTAATAAATTGATAGAGTCTATTAAATTTTAATTTTATTTTCTTTTTTTAAAGAATTTAAATAAAAGCTTGTTAAAAACAAGTTTTTATTTAAATGCTCTTGATGGAGGGCGAGAGGTGCTCTTCAAACTCATCTTCAATCATTGACCGGATGTGTGCGAACTAATTCTTACCAATTTTAATATCATGGATTTCCGCAAAGTAACGGCTGATTCTATTAATCATGGTAACAAGTAGTTAAATAAAAGCGATGGTAGTATTTGTTGAGTGCTGTAACTGTAATGTATATATTTTATTATTCTGCTATAGCTATAATAATATCTTTAATATTTTATTATTATTTTCCATTAAGTATTAAAAATTGTCAAATATTAATTACAATTTCCATAACCATAAACCATAAACACTCACGCCTGTCACCCAGAGGGGTAGGCAGAGACTACAGATATCCATTTGGCACGATCCTGACACACCTCTCTCGCCTCCTTCACATCCATACACCTACGCATACATGCTCGTCGGTTAAGGGTACTCCTAATTTGGCCCGTTTCCAATAAATCGCCAATTTGGTCGATAAATTTTCGCCTAGGACGTCCCTTTCCGACTCTGCCATTCACTTCTGCAACATAAATTTTCTTTGTCACTCTTTCCTCATTCATTCTTTCCACATGACCAAACCACCGAAGCATTCCTTTCTTAATCCTGGTCACAACATCATCTTGCAAACCACACTCTTCTCTTATTACACAATTTCTTACCCTGTCATTCAGATTCAGCCCTAACATACTCCTTAACGACCGCATTTCTACTGCGTTTATTCTACTCTCGTGCTTCTTCTGCCACACCCAACTTTCACTACCATACGTTAAAGTAGGGACCAACACAGCATTGTGAATTACCATACGTGCCTTTTTCGACACATTTTGACTCTTCGCAGTAGAGTGCAAGGCCCCATTTACTCTATTTCCCGCATTCACTCGTCGTTCTATATCCTTATCATATCTCCCATCCCTGCTAAATACGCAGCCCAAATATACAAACTCATCTACTTGCTCGATCAACTCCCCTTCTATTCTTATTTCAGAAATCGTTTTGTGAAATTGTGTCAAAACGACGTTGTGTCAAAACGATTTGTGAAATAATTACAATTTATTCACTAAAAACTACATCTTTTATATCATAAAGATATTTAACAACGCATCTTTTTTTATATGACTGATCCCTTTTTATTTTTGGTAGTCTCATCATCATCATCATCATTACAGCCCTTCACAAGTCCACTGCTGAACATAGGCCTCCCCCAAGTAATGCCACAGAGCACGGTCCTGAGCCACCTGCATCCATCGACTTCCTGCATATCTTACCAGGTCGTCACTCCATCTAGTGGGGGGTCGCCCTACACTACGCCTACCGGTACGAGGCTGCCACTCGAGAACCTTTCTTCCCCATCGGTTATCGGTTCTTCGAGCTATATGGCCAGCCCATTGCCACTTCAGCTTACTAATCCGTTGGGCTATGTCGGTCACTCTGGTTTTACTGCGGATATCCTCATTTCTGAGTCTATCACGCAGAGAAACTCCGAGCATAGCCCTCTCCATAGCTCGCTGAGCGACCTTGAGCGTCCTCATACGGCCAGCAGTGAAGGACCACGTCTCTGATCCGTAAGTCATCACTGGCAACACGCACTGGTTGTACACTTTAGTTTTCAGAGATTGAGGTATACCTGACGAGAAGATGTGTCGTAATTTTCCGAACGCTGCCCAGCCAAGTTGAATCCGTCGATTGACCTCTCGGTCGAAGTTGGACTTACCTAGTCGGACTATTTGTCCCAGGTAAACGTACTCGTCAACAACTTCGAGCATAGTGCTCCCAACAACTACCGGCATAGGTGTGACATGGACATTAAACATAATCTTTGTTTTGTCCATGTTCATCTTAAGTCCTATCCGTTGGGAGGCACTATTGAGGTCATTGAGCAAAGTGCTTAAGTCCTCCAGCAATTCTGC